GATATATATATATATATATATATATATATATATATATATATATATATATATATATATATATATATATATATATATATATATATATATATATATATATATATATCGGACGGAGATTTCACTCAAAAGTTTCTTTCTGCGAACTACAGGCCTGTGTTTCAGACTCCAAAAGTATGTTTCCCCGAAAAACGGATATATATATATATATATATATATATATATATCCGTATTTTTTTAAACAAGTATTTATATATATATATATATATATGTATGTATTTTTAAACACGTATATATATATATATATATATATATATATATATATATATATATATATACGTGTGTTCTGTAAGTTAAATAGTTTAGAACGGGATAAATTGACGAATAAAACTAAAATTACTTAATAAAACTCACGGGTTTCTCATCATATTTGGTTACTAAAATTTGAAATAGGATCTTTTCTCGGGCAAAGGTCGTGCAGCTGCATAAACGTTAGTGGTCATATACTGTAATAGCTTTTGAAAATTAGATTTTCGGAAAAGTGCCATAAATATTTACAGTAGAATTAGTTGCTATTTGTGAAGACATTTGAGATAAATCGCTATATGAATGCCTAAGCGAAATTTATACCGCGCAGCACTTGAGAATCGAACTCACAACAGTCGTTCTCGTATACTTGGTGTTATATGTATAGCTGGACACACGTATTTGAGTTTGCCCGATTGTTATGGCGGCGAGTTAATCCCTATTGCAGACGCCTACTCAGTCACTACTGTGCTTGTTCGACACATACACCTGTCATCTAATGGTCATGTGTTCAAGCATTGGATCGAGTAGTGACGCATCAATTCAGGAGGAACGAACAACAGGGAAAATATTTCACAGTAACCAGAGTTAAGCCATATTAGTAATGGACACCTGATGATGATCAGTGCGTACTTTTCCGAAATCTCGTGACTATAAAAACATCTACAGTCTAAGACGAAATTCGTACACCCATGAATTTTGAATATTTTTATCCATTTCTCAGAATCTAATGCCAGTATGATGACAGGGTTTTTGATGGGTGTACGAATAATTTCGGGGAAACATACTTTTGGGAGTCTGAAACACAGGCGTGTAGTTCGCAGAAAGAAACTTTTTGAGTGAAATCTCCACGTCGATAATCAAGAAGTCCCTCCCTGTCAAATCGACCATGGCGGGATTCGAACCCGATATATATATATATATATATATATATATATATATATATATATATATATATATATATGTGTGTGTGTGTGTGTGTGTGTATATGTAGGAATTTATGTATATCTATGTGTATGTATATGTGTATGTATATGTATATATATATATATATATATATATATATGTATATATGCGTATATGGATGTATGTATATGTAGGTGCATGTGTATATAGATGTGTTTATATGTGTGTGTGTGTATGTTTAGGTATGTATGTATGTATAGTTAGATGGATAGATAAAGGGATACATTCTTTATTTGTTTAGATGGGTGTATGTAATGGTATGGAGATGTAAGGTTTTATGTATATATGTTTATGTGAACGTATGTGTATGTATATATGTGTGTAAATGTATGTAGAAGTGGATGTGTATGGATGTATGTGTATATGTATGTATGTGTGTATACATATATATATATATATATATATATATATATATATATATATATGTATGGGTATAAGTATATGTATGGGTATGTGTGTACACGCCTATATGTATGTATGTACGTGTATATGTTGTTTTGTATGTGTGTATACGCATGTGTTTTTAAACATAAAAATATAGGTCCTTGCTAGATTAGATAATCGTTATGTTTGTTTTTTATATGCTTATATTTGATTTGTAACCTGTAGTCGATAGTAATTTTGTCAAATTCTCTTGATTACACAGCGCCCGTTTTATAAATGCCCTTCAGTTTTAGTGTGTGTATTTGTGTGTGTGTGTGTGTGTGTGTTTTATGTGTGTGTAGATTTAATAGGCCGGTGACTATAATTCGAAGAATACAAAAGCAACAAATAAATAAAAAATATTGTCAATAAGACTGATGATATTTATTTTATACTAGCAGTAGAGCCCGGCATTGCCCGGGGATGTAACAGTAAGAGATAGATCAAGTATCGACCATCATAAAGACTGAAAAATAAAATTGAAAAAGATTATTGTTTAAGGTTGACGGACACGCATGTCTTAATTAGTTTTTTTTTTGTTTTTTACGAACCCAAACTAAAAAAAAAACATTGTTTTCAATCGTTATGAGTCTACCGATTGAATAGAATTTTATTATAAACAATTATCTTGTAAATGGAATTTTTAAAGCATTCTGAATGTAAAAATAAAGAAAAAAGTGTGCAAGACAATAAGAAACACTACCTGCCAAAAAAAAAGTGAAGTTTTGTTTAAATCGGTTGAAAAATGTAGGAAATCCGATCCCATATATAAACGAACATACACACAAACAACCTGGGTTTTATAATAAGTATAACTCGATATGAGTTGTCCCCCTTTCATTCTCGCGATGCCTCTTAATCGTGTTTTCAAATTGATTTCATGCAAAAACAATTGTATTTTTCCAATTTTTGGCGCTGTCAGAACCACCGCAAGGTAATTTTACGTAGTCCTGTGAAGTTTTGTTGAAATCGGTTAAAAATGTAGGAAATCCGATCCAATATATAAACGAACAGACAGACACACACACACAACCTAGGTTTTATAATAAGTATGATTACTAAAACTTTTTGATTAAACCGTAGCGCTAACAGAAATATTTTAAAGTCCGACTTTTTGGACACGCTTATGTCTTTTATCAATGAGATTAGAAATACAGTATGAAGTGCGACTCACTCTTCAGGGGATATTCTTGTTGTTTTTTCTTGTTGTTGTTTTTTTTTCATTTTTGTATAATTGTAAGATATTTAATAGTTTGGCCTGGTAGCTTGCTATGATTATCGCTGTGGAGGGTTTGTAGTAGGTTTCTCTCTCTCTCTCTCTCTCTCTCCATATATATATATATATATATATATATATATATATATATATATAGCTTTAAATAAAGTGGAAGTCATATCTAAGGTACCTATCGGCCAACGCTTTGTCAAAGATATTCATTGGCAATATTAAATATAAATTAATACAAAGACACACTTAATGAAGTAAATGAGGAGTGAAAGGCGAAACTCGACTAAAAGACAAATTTTAATTATATAAATTAAAATTGAACGAGGAGTGGATATAAATAAATAGTTCCACAAGAGTATATAAAATAGAAAAAGGGGGAACTCACAGACCCTCCAACAGACGTAAGGAACGTAAAAAGTGTTCCTTCCGTCTGCACAGACTGGGCTGTTGACACTTAATATAAACGGCTTCAGAAACTCGAAGATGGTGTATTGATTGAGCGCTCTGTAAAACTGAAAACCACGTGTCTTCGTGCTCAGCGGCACAAGCATCATTGTCCAACAAATGTTGCCCGATTGCTGACTCATGGACTGACTGAGTTGTTCTTGAACGCACAAAAGCAGGAACATTCTTTATATATATATATATATATATATATATATATATTATATCAAACACTTCAGATCCATAGATAATAATTTTATTTCATGAAAGCTATAATATATATATATATATATATATATAGTTAAGTTATGAAGAACTTGGTAAACCAAATTGGTAAATCCAAGGAGAATGAAATCCTGAGAGCTCAATGTGAAGAACAAAGCTAAATATTTAATGAAAACAGACCACTTTAAGGTACCATCACAATAATTTATTTCACCAAAATCCTTTTTAAAGGATTTCGGATCATCAGGTAACACTTCCAGCAATGAAATGAGAGGAAAAATGGGATTTTGGTGAAATAAATTATTATGATGGTACCTTTTAAAGTGGTCTGTTTTTCATTAAATATATATATATATATATATATATATATATATATATATATATATATATATAGTAAAGAAACAAATCAACACTGCATGGTGAATATCAGTTTCGCATCTCAAACTATTTGTGAAATGTGTCCCTACTCCTTCCGAAACACGGTTTGTGAGATATGCGAAACATCAATCTCCAATATGAGTCCTATCACAAAGTCCATCCAATTAATGTTAGGGCTTGATGGTAGTCAAAATTGATTTCTCAAGAGATTCGCGGAAAACGTGGATGCGCACTGCTGATGAGTCCCAAATAGAGGACGAAACGGCTGTCCAGTGCTTTCTGCATTTTGTTGAGGTTCCTATCAGACTCGATGAATTACTTAAATATAATTATCAAATCCTTCTTAAATCTCTATATATATATAAAAGAAAAAGGGCTGACCACTTTGGAATCCCAGGTGCTGTAATTTTGGATGGCTTTGGAATCCCAGGTGCTGTAATTTTGGATGGGTATAATCTCGGATGGCATTTGGTTATAATTTGAAATTGGAAATCGGAGAAACAAGTTCCAATTCCAGTCAGGTTTATTATATTCACTAATGCAGAAATAGCCATGTGAAATGGGCATAGATCAACCCCTTCTCTATGGGTTATTTAGTAGATTTTGTATCAGTAAATCATTATTTTCTCCCAAAACTTCATACAATCCCAAACTATTTTCTGCCTTTAAATAACCTGAAAATAGATGATATGGAATAATAAAAAAAATCACTCAATAAAATTTAGTAATAAAACGTTGGTGATTCTTTTCCATTTAAAACACATTCAAAACTGTGCATTGTCGTCAGCCTACAGAACTGGTTACCGATATAGATTTCTTTCATTGATTGTCTGGAAAATTGGCATTAAACCCATGTCAATATTTTTCAGAAAATGTTTCCCAGGAGAGAACTGACACTAAAAACAACACAGCATTGAAAATGTTACTAAAACTGTGAGATCAAGGCTGCTTTCACGCTTTATTTTTTTAACAAATATTCAAAAGAAGCTATAATTAATGGGAAACTGTTTTTAGCAATCCCTTATGTATTTAATGAATGCCCGCAAATGATCAAACATTTTTCTCGGCTACTTGTTACACGTTTTCCTGCAAGGTCACCTTTTTATTCTGTCATTTAAATACTATTTCAACCATCCTATTTGTCCCAGATGAATAATGAATAAGAAGCTCCTTAAAATGAAAAGTTCTTTTAAAATTTAAATTCTGTATCTTTGGTTTTCAAAGATTTCATCCTTTTTTTCATTTATCAAATTTTATTTTCTCTTTTCCTTGATTACGTCATTCTTTCTTTTTTTTCTCTCTCTCTCTCACTCGCTTTCTCTTGATTCATTCTTTCTTTCTTTCTTTCTTTCTTTCTTTCTTTTCTTTCTTTCTTTCTTTCTTTCTTATATGCATCTATATAACTTTCTTTTTTTATATTCCTTTGACCATTGTTTTTTTTTCTTTCTTTCTTACATGTTATTACATAATTTTTATTTTTTTCTGATTTCTTCCTTATATAATTTTTACATCTTTGTGGGATTCTTTTTTAAAACAATATCTAGACTTTTCTTTCTTTTTTTCTTTCTTTTTTCTTTCTTTTTTCTATTTTTAATTTTTTTCTTTCTTTCTTATATTCTTTCTTTCATTTTTCTTTTTTCTTTTATTCTTTCTTTCGTTCTTTCTTTCTTTCTTTTTTCTTTCATTCTTTCTTTCTTTTTTATTTTTTCTTTCTTTCGTTCTTTCATTCTTTCCTTCTTTCTTTTTTCTTTCTTTCTTTCTTTTTTCTTTCTTTCTTCTTTCATTTATTCTTTCTTTCAATTTTCTTTCTTTTTTCTTTTATTCTTTCTTTCGTTCTTTCTTTCTTTCTTTTTTCTTTCTTTCTTCTTTCATTTAATCTTTCTTTCTTTCAATTTTCTTTCTTTTTTCTTTTATTCTTTCTTTCGTTCTTTCTTTCTTTTTTTCTTTCTTCTTTCATTTAATATTTTTTGCTTTCATTCTTTCTTTCATTCTTTCTTACATAACGTTGCCTTTTTTCTTTCTTATATAACATTCACATTTCTTTCTTTCTGACATAACGTTGACCATTCTTTCTTTCTTTCTTTCTTTCTTTCTTTCTTTCTTTCTTTCTTTCTTTGTACTATGAACCTACGTTTCTTTTATCCTTTCTTTCATTCTTACATAACTTTCACTTTTCTTTCTTTCTGACATAGTGTTGACTTTTCTTTCTTTCTTTCTTTCTTTCCTTCTTTCCTTCTTTCTTTCTTTCTTGCATAACATTCATTTTTTCCTTCTTTCTTTTTTACATACCTTTATTTCTATTTTCCTTCTTTTTCCTTTCCGTATTTCTCTTACATTTCCTCTCCCACCTTTCCTCCAGTCTATTTGATTGTTTCTCTGCTTCCACTTCACTTTCTCGTTCTTGCATTTCTGCCCCCCCCCCACACCCCAACATGCACCCCACCTACAAATTTATACAATTTTCTTCTTGATCAATTTTAACCGTTCAGGGAAACACCACGAAGCGGCATAAGAGTTCATCAAATTGAAGACGTCGAGATGCGCGCGGGAAAATAGATTTTAAATTAATGCAAAAACAAAGGAGCGACAGGGCAAGGAAAATAGAAAAAAAAAACATGACTGAGAAGAATACACACGACCCCAAAAGACTGGATTTTTATATACGCTCATATATGCGTGTGGATGCTGGTGTACGGGTGTAGGTGTGGGCGTGTGTGTGTGAGGGAGAGACTGAATATAAAAATACAAGGAGAATAAGGAAAGGAGAATTAACAAGATAGATAGATAGATAGATAGATAGATAGATAGATACTGATAGATAGATAGATAGATAGATAGATAGATACTGATAGATAGATAGATAGAGAGAGAGAGAGAGAGAGACTGAGGGAGAGAGATACAAACCGAGTGTGAGAGAGAGAGAGAGAGAGAGTGGAGCGTAGAAAGAGACAGACATACTGTGACAAAGACATAGAGAGACACAGAAAAACAGACAGAGAGAAAGACAGGCAGCGAGAGAGACAGGCAGAGAGAGAGAGACAGTCACAGTGAGAAAAAGGCACAGCGACAGAGAGAGAGAGAGAGAGAGAGAGAGAGAGAGAGAGAGAGAGGGGGGATGGGAATAAACTGAAAATTAAAAAAAAAGAAAATATTGAAAAAATCTCAAAATGTATCCAGTGTGTGTGTGAGTGTGTGTGTGTGTGTGTGTGAGAGAGAGAGAGAGAGAGAGAGAGTTGATGAGTGAGAGAGAGAGAGAGAGAGAGAGAGAGTTGATGAGTGTGTGTGTGTGTAAGAGAGAGAGAGGTGGTGAGAGAGTGAGCGTGAAAGAGAGAGAGAATGAAATGAAATAGCGTATGGAAAGTTGATAAAGAAACAAAAAACAAAAACAGAACAGAAAAATCAAGAGAGAGAGAGAGAGAGAGAGAGAGATGGTGAGAGAGCCACACGGAAGTGAGAAAGAGCGTGAGAGTGTGAGAGAGATAGTGAAAGACAAGGTGACAGTGAGAAAGTCTGTGTGTGTGTAAGGGAGAGGTGGTGAGAGGGAGAGCAAGATATGGTTATAGTGAGAAAGAGTGTGTGTGTGAGAGAAAAACGTAGGAGAGCAAGATATGGTGAGAGTGAGAGAGTCTGTGTTAGAGAGAGATGGTAAGAGAACAAAATAAGATGAAAGTGAGAAAGAGTGCGAGAGAGAGTGATGGCGAGAAAGATGAGTTGGGTGTGAAAAATGTATGAGTGTGTGGGAGAGAGGTGCTCAGATAGCAAGATAAGGTTAGAGTGAGAAAGAGGGCGAGAGAGATAGTGAGTAAGCAAGATAAGGTGAGAATGAGAACGAGTGTTAGAGAGAGAGAGAGAGAGAGAGAGAGAGGTGGTGACATAGCAAGAAATGTGAGAGTGAGAAAGAGTGTGTGAGAGAGATGGTGAGAAAGTTAGAAAAGGTGAGAATGAGAAAGAGTGTGAGAGTAAGATAGAGGTGGTGAGAAAACAAGAGTGAGTGAGAGAGAGAAAGAGAGAGCTGATGAGAGAGCAACATATGTTGGAAGTGAGAAAGAGTGTTAGAGAGAGAGGGAGATGTGGCGAGAGAGCAAGATAAGTTGAAAGTGAGAAAGAGTGTGAGAGAGAGGTGGTGAGAGAACAAGATAAGTTGAAAGTGAGAAAGAGTGTGAGAGAGATGGTGAGAGTTAGATAAGGTAAGAGTGAGAAAGAAGTTGTGGAGAGAGGTGGTGAGAGAACAAGATAAGTTGAAAGTGAGAAAGAGTGTGAGAGAGATGGTGAGAGTTAGATAAGGTAAGAGTGAGAAAGAAGTTGTGAGAGAGAGGTGGTGAGAGAACAAGATAAGTTGAAAGTGAGAAAGAGTGTGAGAGAGATGGTGAGAGTTAGATAAGGTAAGAGTGAGAAAGAAGTTGTGAGAGAGAGGTGGTGAGAGAACAAGATAAGTTGAAAGTGAGAAAGAGTGTGAGAGAGATGGTGAGAGTTAGATAAGGTAAGAGTGAGAAAGAAGAAGTTGTGAGAGAGGTGGTGAGAGAACAAGATAAGTTGAAAGTGAGAAAGAGTGTGAGAGAGATGGTGAGAGTTAGATAAGGTAAGAGTGAGAAAGAAGTTGTGAGAGAGAGGTGGTGAGAGAACAAGATAAGTTGAAAGGAGAAAGAGTGTGAGAGAGATGGTGAGAGTTAGATAAGGTAAGAGGAGAAAGAAGTTGTGAGAGAGAGGTGGTGAGAGAACAAGATAAATTGAAAGTGAGAAAGAGTGTGAGAGAGATGGTGAGAGTTAGATAAGGTAAGAGTGAGAAAGAAGTTGTGAGAGAGAGGTGGTGAGAGAACAAGATAAGTTGAAAGTGAGAAAGAGTGTGAGAGAGATGGTGAGAGTTAGATAAGGTACGAGTGAGAAAGAAGTTGTGAGAGAGAGAGAGAGAGGTGATCAGAGAACAAGATAAAATGAGATTGAGAAAGACTGTAAGATAGAGATGGTGAGAAAGAATGATGAGAAGGGTTTAAAAAAAGAGTAGGAGAGAGAAGTGGTGAGAGAGAAAGTTAAGGTGACTGTGAGAAAGAGTAAGAGAGAGAGTGGGGGGTTGTGAGAGAGCAAAATAATGTGAGAATGAGAAAGATAGTGAGAGAGAGACATGAGGAATGAGCAAGTTAAGATGGGAGTGAGAAAGTGGGAAAAGAGAAGAGAGAGAGAGAGAGAGAGAGAAAGAGGGGGGTGAGCTTGATAAGGTGAAAGTAAGAAAAAGGGAGAGTGAGGTGGGGACAGAGCAAGATGAGGTGTGTGCGAGAATGAATGAAAGAAAGACATGTGATGAGAGAGCAAGATAAAGTGAGAGTGACAAAGATTGACAGAGAGAGAAAGAGGGAGAGAGAAAGAGAGATGGAAAAGAGATGTAACGAAAAAGAAAAACGATAATTTATAGAAAAATTGTAAAGATAAAAGTATAGGAGAAAAGAGGAACAGAGAGAGAGAGAGAGAGAGAGAGAGAGGGAGAGAGAGAGAGAGAGGGAGGGAGAGAGAGGGAGAGAGATCGCTAAGAGGAACATATTTGGGAGATAGAGAGTCAGTAAAGAAATGAAATGGTAGGGGTGTCGGATATTAAAGAAGCCCGTTTAAATAGCGATTAAAGTCAAGAGAGAGAAATTGTTGTAGAGTAGTTTTCACAGTGGAGGCTTGTATTTTACTAAGTCGGTCCTAAATTAGGTTCGACGTTAGGAACTTGAAATAATAGTTAATGACGCAGCAATCTAGTTGTGGGGCTCATACTTTAATGTCCGACATCGACTGACTCACACAACTCACTGAGCTTCACTGGCGACTGCTACTACTACTACTTATCTGTGGGAGAGTCTATTTACAATAGAAATAGGTACGTTCCGGTATAACAGAACTAAAATAAGAGAAAAATGCAAGGGGGAGAGAAAGGAGGAAGGTGAGAGATTGAGAGACATAAGAGTAAAATACTAGGGAGAGAGTTAGGGTTAAAGAGAATGGAATATCGGGAAGCTTGTCAAAATAGAGATTAAAATCAACAGAGATAGAAAGAATAAGAGAAAGAGTGGGAGGGAGAAAAACTAGAGGACACGATTAAAGAGAAAAATGTTAATAGGGAATGAAAGAGATGGAAAGATATTAGAACAGGAGAGGTTATAAGAAAGGGTTAAAATGTAAAGGGCGAGGAGAGGAAAAGACGCGGGAAATTTAAAAGAGAGAATATGAACAATATAGAATAGAAAGAAAAGATAACAAATGAGAGAGAGAGAGAGAGAGAGAGAAAGAGTGATAATCAGAAAGAGAGAGAGAGAGAGAGAAAAAAAGAAGAAAAAGAAGACGAACATATCGAAGGAGAAAAAAAAACATCTGAAATATCCACAGAGAATAAAAACGCGACTGAACGGAGAAAAGAGGGAGTAGAACCATGAGAAATTAATGAGAAAGAAATGTTTATATAAGAGAGAGAGAGAAAAGAGAGAGAGAGAGAGAGAGACAGACAGACAGACAGACAGGGATGCAATAAAGAGACCCTTTTTTAATCCGACATAACAAAGAGATAGATATGAAAAGACTGGTATGTTAGTATACTGAGATAGATAGATAGATAGATGCAGACAGGCGTTCAGATAGAAATGAATATATATATATATATATATATATATATATATATATATATATATATATAGAGAGAGAGAGAGAGAGAGAGAGAGAGAGAAGAAAGAGAGAGAGAGAGAAAAGAAAGAAAAGAGAGAGAGAGACAGGCATGCAATAAAGAGACACCCTTTTTTAATCCGACGTAACAAAGAGATAGATATGAAAAGACCGGTATGTTAGTATACTGAGATAGATAGATTGATAGATAGATAGATAGATAGATAGATAGATAGATAGAGGCAGACAGGCTTTCAGATAGAAATGAATATATATAGAGAGAAGAAAAAGAGAGAGAGAGAGTGAGAGAGGGAGAGGGGTATGCAAAATGTTTATATATACCAGACACCCTTTCTTATCCGACATAACAATGAGATAGATATTAAAAGACTGGTATGGTAGTATATTCAGATAGATAGATAGATAGATAGATAGATAGATATACAGGCAGACGTGAGAGTTCAGATAGAAATGAATATATATATATATATATATAGAGAGAGAGAGAGAGATAGAGAGAGAGAGAGGGAGAGAGAGAAAGAGAGAGAGAGACAGGCATGCAACCTACGACAGACAGACAGACAGATTGATTGATTGACTGATTCGTTTTCTACGGTTTGTCAAACCTTTGCAGGTTATATACCAAAAACTAAACTTCTGTTTATTAATCATCTGAGAGACCCCCCCTTTCTGATGGCTGATGCTAATCTCCAGAAGAATTAGTCGTTGCGTCTTCTCGAGCTAAAGTTCTCGATTTACATGAAGTGGAAAGACTATGTTAAATCTATTGTCAGGCCAGCTACTAAGAAAATTGGTTCTCTGTGCCGTGCCAGACAATCTTTCTCTCCAGAATCTATCTTAGTCAACCATTCTTCCATGCTTAGAATATTGCTGTGACATTTGATCCGGTGCTCCTTTTATTTATCTAGACTTCCTTGATCAAATCAAAAGAAGAATCAGTAATTCTATTGGCGCTGTCTGTCTATATTTCTGAGATGAAGTACTGCAAATATTTGCGTTATTTACATTGTTCAGACTATTTTCCTCATTTTTATTCACGACGTTTCGGCCGTTGTAGATAGATAGATAGATAGATAGATAGATAGATAGATAGATAGATAGATAGATAGATGAGAAGAGAGCGAGAGAAGTAGGAAAATTAGTTAACATTTGTGATATGAAAAAGTAAAAGATCGTCTAATTCAGGACGCGAATATAGTTTATCGTCATACCCAGGACAGGATTGATGGATAGATAGATATATAGATAGATAATGTACTGACTGAGCACACACACACACACAGACACACACACACACACACACACACGGTGTCCATAAAGTTCGTGTGCACTTTAAAAAATTATAACTTTATTTGTATTTGCGACAGAAATAATCTGTAAAAAATGTTATAAAATTTAATGTACCTAGTTTTAAGTATAGCTAAAACAACTAATATGTTTTCAGGCATTACTGTAAATCAGTTGGAAAATGTCTTCCGTGAACTGAAAAATCGTATTATCCTTTGTATTGCTAATGATGGAGGACATGTGGAAACTTAAATTCAATAAAACCTTGAAAAAATATTGGTTTACTTCTTTCTAATCCTTTTTACAAATTATTTCTATCGCAAATACAAAGAAAGTTATAATTTTTTAAAGTGCACACGAACTTTATGGACACCCTGTATATATATATATATATATATATATATATATATAGATAGATAGATAGATAGATAGATAGATAGATGAAGAGAGAGCGAGAGAATTCGAAAAAGAAGGAAAATTAGTTAACATTTGTGATATCGAAAAAGTAAAAAACTATGAAAGGAACAGAAAAAAGAGAACAATGAAAAGAAACATTTGCTCGTAACATCGCAAGGAAGCATAAAATCATTTTTCGCTGAAGAAATTCTTTGAAGTCAGCATACAAGATAATTGTGTGTATGTGTGTGTGTGTGAGAGAGAGAGAGAGAGAGAGAGAGAAAGATAGAGGAGAGAGAGAGAGTGAGTGTGTGTGTCAATCGAACCGCGAAATTCCATGATTTTGCAAGGTTCCTGTATTCTGCAATCGGGAATGACAGATTTCGAGATTTTTCGCACGGATTTGCCAAGAAATAATCTCCAGGTGGAAGTTCAGGCGAGCAATCAACTGCAGAGGCGCACGGGGCGGCAAAGAACAAAAGAAAGCTGAAAGGGAATAAATTTCGCACAGAATCCATTATTCTGTCTGACGATTGCATGGCTTAGCTAAATTCCACGGCAGTATCTTTACATACAAGCGCATGTGGCTGTCCATGCTAACGTAATCCAACTGGTTCTAGGATAATTCTGACAAAATATTTTTATTCAAATAAATTCATTATTCAGTTCATATAATATTAGGCTGAGTCATAAATGATTTCCGTATTTGTTTATCAACTTTATTCTAAAATAAAATTACTCAATTATATAGACATCATTATTTGAAATGACTTATTGTTGCCAATTATGCAAGCACTTATTTTATGTATTTTGAATAAAATTCTGCAGGTTTTGACCGGAAAATCTCAATAAACCCCTTAAGTCTTAGTGAATTTCTTGCCTTGCTTAGGGTGAACTCTTAAAAAATTTTCTTCCTTGATTGATGAATTTTAAATTTTTGATCGGACCGGTAACAATGGACGCTTTCAGGACAAGGTCACAAGTTTCGGCTGGTCAGATTATCATCTATTTGGGATTTTTTGAAACGGCATTTATCAGGGAAGCCGTCCTACACAGAAGACGCTGTTTTTGCAAACATGTTACCGTGGTTTCAGTCGTTTTGGATCCGAAAAATGTTTCGACGAAGTCATTTATATGGCTTTCATTAAAGTTTTACCTATGGAATGGTTAATTGGAGAGCAGTGTTCTAATTCCATTCGGATGTGTTACTTTCACTTCCGCGCAAATACCCTTGGAAAAGGTATGAATCCACATCGTCCCCCTCCAGCTATGGGTTCATTAGTAAGATTTGTATCACGAAATCATTATCATTGCCAAAGCGTATAAAACGAATCAATCAATTGAGAGAAGAAATCCTTGTCTGTTCTCAAGAGAACACAAGAAAAAAGCCTGAAAGAATTAACTTATCGTTCTCAATGAAACATGTATAAGAAAGGGATTCGCGCGTAAATATACATATACAGACACACAGGCACACACACACACGCACACACATCTATCTATCTATCTATCTATCTATCTATCTATCTATATATATATATATATATATATATATCAAAGGAAAAACCTAAAAAATCTGAAAAAGCCAGTAATAAATTTATTTCAGTAAGTACGTTTTTAATACCTGCCTTCTCAAGCCAAAAATAAAAAATGGTTTTCATTATCTATCTATCTATCTTCCTTTCTCTCTCTCTCTCTCTCTCTCTCTCTCTCTATATATATATATATATATATATATATATATATATATATATATAGTTAAACCTAGAGAGCCAGACAAACCTACCAAGGTTTCACCTAAGCGGATCGTCAGGAAGGCTGGCTTACTCGCATCGTCAGGAAAGGCTGGGTACTCGCATTGTCAGGGAAGACTGGGTACTCGCATCGTCAGGGAAGGCTGGCTTACTCGCATCGTCAGGGAAGGCTGGGTACTCGCATGCTGGACGATTATTTTCGGCTAACGTACATGTTCTTGGTTCTTTCTTTTTTTTGTACCTTTTTTCCCTTTGGTATTGGCTTGTTTATTTGCAAATCAAGACACCGAAGGTTTTCCGAGCAAGTATAGTTTTTTATACTTATAAGATTTCTATTAATAATATATATATATATATATATATATTCATGAATTATTCACACAAAAACAAATGCAAAGGTTAATGATTTAATTGGCGAGAAATCCATCATCGCAAACAATTCAAATAATATACAAAAACCTCCGAATCCGTTATGAATGAAATGATCCTAAATTTAAAATCAAACTCAGTGTTGCTACTGCGCGCTCCAAAAACAACTCCTTTTCAATAGCATTTTCGGATACAACAATACATATATTTTCGTTGTCCTCTTATTACTAAGAGAAAAAACAAGAACAACATCTATTCTATACCTGAAGATGTCTGTAGGAACAGACGAAAGCTTGTAGTAAAAATAAGAACTAATACGGCAGAAATTTATGGAAACTAGGATCATTTCATTCATAACGGATTCGGAGGTTTTGTATATTATTGAATTGTTTGCGATGATGGATTTCTCGCCAATTAAATCATTAACCTTTGCATTTGTTTTTTGTGTGAATAATTCATGAATTTGTAAATTGATTGCACGTTTATCGTAATATATATATATATATATATATATATATATATATATATATATATATATATATATATATATATATATCAGGAGCTGTTCTTAAACAGAATTATCAGAGGCAATGAAAAACTGATTGTTTATGATAATGTTCCACGCAAACGAAGCGAGGAATAAGACTGTGAATGTACAGAACCATTGTCTAAATCAGGCCAACATCCAATGAAGGTGTTTACTCTCCGTTTGGCAAAATCGTAGGCGGATAATTCACTTGGAGTTTCTATCAGCTGTCGAAATCATAACTGCAAAGATTTATTACGACCAAGTCACGAATCCCAATGTGGCCATTCAAGAAAAACAGACGATTTTGGCAAATCATAAAGGTGTCATTTTCCACGACGACGACGACGACGACGACGACACAAGACAGCATGTTGTAAAACAGATCTTGCAGAAACTAAGAGTAGAAATGGGGTTCTCTCTAGATCCTCTAGGCTACATCCTGGTATTTTCAACGGAGCTGACAATTTGAATTATTTCACAGTGACGTTATGTCCCACGGTTAAAGAGAGTAAGTACCACACCAAAAGGAATGTATCAATTATTATGCTTATTATTATTTGTTATGGTCCGGTTCCTTGTACCACGGTGATAGTCCAAGGTAGAACCAATAAAGAAGAACTCGAACACGGATATGGAATAAAACAGATATATTACAAACAGGAATATATACAGAGAAGTAGAAAGTGTTAGTACGAACAATCAGGTTTAGTAGTAATTGTCTGAACGCGACTCTGTTTCGGACTGCCTCTGACTCGACTGACTGACTCGTTCGCTCTGACTGACTGACAGACTCTTGACGGACTTCACTCCAGACTTCAGACTGAACTCAGACTTCAGACAGAACAGTATTTAGTCACCCTCCCACGAGGGTATCATGTGGCACAAGGCCGGTTTAACGTGGGATCTCCGAGCCCGTGGGCTCGGCCAAAAATATGCCCTTTGAACCCGTATAAACGGGTTCAGGGTCGGTTTATCTCCCCGAAAGAGACTCCGCCCTTCGCCGTAGCCTCGTTCGGGTTCTTCCCCGTCCGAAGGCAGAGAGTTCAACCGATCAGCCGATCAGCCGGTCGCCCGACTTCGGACTGAACTCTCTGCTTCCTCTTGAGGCGCAGTATTTATTACATATGGAATAGTCCATTATGTTATTATGGGTAAGGTCCCATAACATTATTATTATGGCTTTTTTCTTCGGACATTGTAACTGACTAACGTGAGTCAATACATTATTTACATTATTCGGACTATTGTCCTCATCTTTGTCGCCATATTTATTACAACATTTCGGCCGTTGTACGCTCAATTTCAACTGCCACCATGCATATAGCGTAAACAAAGGGACCGCCCGCTGCTTACAACACCGAGGAAAAGTCATAAATGGCGACCCAGAGACGTTAGATAAAGAATTGGTCAGTATAAGTAGTACCCTACAACGTTACAACTACTCTGGGTACATGGCAGCAGCCCCCAAAAACTGGGATAGACGGGTTAAAGAGGAGGACAACAACACTCATAAAACTGTCTGCTTGCCTTATGTGAAGGGGTTATCAGAGAAAATACAAAGGATCTGCGGTCCATATAACATCAGGACAACCTTCAAAAGCTTGACGACACTTCGCAGATATCTCTCTCCCAGTAAGACCCCCCATAGAGGAGAACATGACTAAAGACTGTGTGTACGCTATCCCGTGCAGCTGCGGAAAGAAATATAAAGGGGAGACAGGCCGCCCCCTAAGGTAAAAGCTTCAACAACACCAGAAAACTGTAACACGAGGGAAGTGGAAAAAATCAGGCGTGGCTGACCACATATGGAGAGA